TTAATTTATTTTGCCCATCTCTTACAAAACGTGCCACATTCATACTTTCTCCCTTGCCTTGGATTTGTTATTAGAGAGCTTAAGATGCCTTCCATGCTAAGGGGAATTCAAATCTGAGTAAAAACATTGAATTAAAGATTTTCAAACAAAAGGACAAATCTAGCATAGCATTTCTTTAGCTACATAATCTTCAGAACTAGTTGGCAAATTTAGTACCGACACAGGAATTTCATCTTGGTGTCTATCACTAATGCTGATGAAGGGTTTTATTGTTGCTCATGCTTCCTGATAAAGAAAAAAAAGAACTATAAAGCTATCAAAGGTATCAAAAACGTAAAACAGATAGAGGCATCTCAGATGCATAATCAAGAATAATCATTAGAAAAAGCTTCTTTTCACAAAAACTAACTTTTTTCTTTTTTTTTTTTTTTTAATTTATACTCACAAGAGTGATGGATGTTTTAATTTCTTCAAGTTAAAACTTAAATCAAAACAATATCTTCTGAAAACACAGCCTACTCAAAATGATACATAATAGGAAGTCCAGATTAACAAAGGCTTACAATTACAACATTACCCAGGATGCTCTAGAGAAAGATAAAAATTCAAATTCCTGTTTTGCAAGCACCAGTTAAGGGATTTAGTCTGGATTTTCTCCAGAAGTATCTTTAAACTAGGTTGAAAAAAGGTATGATGTGGAAACAGTTCTACATCATAAAAAGATAAAGCATTCACGAGGCCAAACTGCCTTTCACTCTGAGTGCTTAAGACTGTCACCTCATCTAAGTAGATGTTAGGTAACAAATTATTAGTCTCTAGTACAAATCAGGTTATAGAGACACTTAAACCTGTGGTCATATGAGAGTGTTGATCTCAAGATAGGCTGTTCTCTCAGTCAACCACTGAGAAAACCATTCCATGTCATGACTGAAGTCCCTTTCTGATTATTTTAAAACTAGTTTTCTTCTTGTAAAATATTTCAGTTTCAATGAATCAACATTTTCTCATGGAGAAAAAGAATGTCCCATCAAACATCTTCCAGTCATCTCCATTTTGATGATTTCAAGTTGTTGGAAAGCAAAGCAAAGCACAGTATATCTCTGGGGATTTGCTTAAATAGAAGAAAATAATCCAGCAAAACTTTTTATAAAGAATAGATATTAATTCCTGTTTGTGGACCAGTACTCCCTCTCCGGAGAAATAAATTCTAATATCAACAGAGTGATGATGGTATTGCTCAGCACATTTATATTTGTTACTGACCAAATAATATCTAAATCACTCTTTCATAGTTGGACATGTTGGATCTAAATTAACAGTATCTCTATTGTAAACAATGGATGACTTAGAAAGCCTGCTGTGATTTGCTGAAAAACAGCCATATTTTCTATATTGGAAATGAGTCCTGTAATGTGGAAATGAACTGGAAAATACAGAATGTGATTAAAGGAGGCCTAATCAGTTGGAATCAGTATGTATCCAAGAGCAGAACCTTTCACAGTCTGTAGTTACTCAAATGCGTCTGTTACTATATCAATATTTTCCAAGGTGTGTTTCTTTGCATCCATTTCCCAAATGAATTCCACTATTCACAGTTGTCTTCCTAATCAACCTTTTTCAATTTAGGGTGATACAACTATCCTGCTTCAGGTAAGGAGAACTCTGCACAGCTCCTAGCAACTCACATAGGCACAAAGTAGTTGATCCCACATGATTGAGTTATGCCTAGAATCAAAACATCTCTTCTTTTGCTTTTCAAAGGTAGAGTTTGACAGTACAGGTTTCCTGTTGAAAGGTACTACCTGTTTGCTAACACTGGCCCACTTCACTGTTGTGAAGTGGGAGCTCTGTTGTGAAGTCCCTTCTGCAGGAAAATGTTAACTTACTCCTTAGGCTACCTTCCAGAAACAGCAACAAAAATACCTAACTCTGATGACTTCTGCTTTTATTAACGACACCTTGAAAAATACTGGGAAGCTTGAAGAAAGGTCAGTGATGAAAGGAAAATGTGAAATATAATTATGAAGGAAAAATTTCTCTTAAGGTGACTTTAACTCACCAGATCTTACTTTTATGCATTCAAGCATTCTGTTTTCCGCACTTTTTGATGCTAGTTTACACGTGTAAAATTTCTTGCAGGCATCATATAACCATAAAAAGAACAGTTTTTAATTTCTAGGAGTGTATAATTGAAAATTTATATTGGCTCAAGACCTTGCAGAACCCAGATCAATCAGATTATTTATTGCAGGTGTTCATGGTGATCAATGTTTCTCCACTTATAAGCTAGGAGTTAAAAGGTTTAAAAATAAACAGAATGTTACTGAGGAAATGCAACAAAACATCAACCTTGGAAAACTGAATAAAATATCAGCAAGAGGTATGATTACCACAGCCAGTGTAGTTTGACAGCATTCCCAAACTCAGTCACTTTGCTGATTTACCCATGAGGCTGATGGGATACTAGCTTCTGCCTTCTCCACTTTTTTACTCCCTCTTCATTGTGCAGTTGAATATACCAATAACTTACAGGTGTGTTTTTGTGTTTAGGGAGGAACTATTCTACTGTGTTAACTATTTGAAGTGGTCTCTTGCTAGAGGGAAGGCCATACAGTAATACGACGTACAGGTTTCAGTTTTTCTTATTTTTTTTCCAAGAAGTATTGTTCCCCAGACTCAGTCACATGCATAACTCACTTTACATTTCCCACCAAGCTCTGCTGACTGTCTTGAGGGAACCTTTTACACAGAGAAAAAATCATCATCATTCACTAATTCAAATTACTCCACATTACAGAAGAACTCTGTTAAATATGGACATGCTCCCTTTCTACATTGCCTTAATCAACACTTAACTCCACAGGACCTCTTAACTCCAGTGAACTTTAACTAGGGTGTAACACAAGGCACACCAAACACTGGTCTCTCACCATATCTACCCCAGACATGAAAAACAGTCATCCTGAGATCATTGAACTTCTGTGGTCTAAGAAACCTCAGATTTGACAGCTTCTCCCTTGATGACCTGTTTCAACATGGGAGTGTGAGACATCTATAGAGAATCTGGCTATGCTTATGTCACAGTAACTTGGGGCCGTGTCTTCAGAAGACATACTGTCCATGTAGTCAAATGCCTGCTCCAGAATTAAAACTCAAAGTATTTTAACAGAACTGGCATGCTTTGGTAAACCATGAGACCTGTCCAACATAGCAATTCTGCTTGTTAACTTACAGGTGCTTGAGATACCTTCTCTCTAACAGGCACACTCTCAGAAAAAATAGGTTACTCATCTTATTAAACAATAGGGAGCTCTAAAGTGACCTCCCTTCTCCTTCAGCTCTCCAGGTTATATTTTTTACAGTTATTAGAAATATTTATTATTTTTAAGGGACTTATTCAGATCTCCCTTCCTTAGTATTGAAGAATGATTATACATTTACACAAAGTCTGGTGTTATCTCCTTTAAAAAATTACAAATGTGTAACTCCTTGTAAGCCACTGTTGTCTGTAGGCTAAAAGGAAAGAAAAAGGAAAAAAAAAAATGAAAAAGGATTCTCCATCTTACATTAGTCCTAAGAAACTGGAGGGACTGAATCACAGTTTGGGAACTTCTACACACTCTCTTAGGCATTGTGATATCAGCAGCAGCAGACAGAAGCACTGGGATGCTTACAGGTGGAGGAGGCGGCTTTCTTCAGTTTCATTTTTTCATCTCAAAAATATAGAGTGGTAGTTCACTGTCTAATAAGCCAGGCACAGAAGGAGGTAGTCAACGGCTATTTCATGATACCTGCACAACTACTGTCTGACTCAAGTCTAGTGGTGTAACTCTTTTAAGACTGTTTCTACCCTGAGGTTGGTTGCAGCATGCTGATCTACATTATCAAAGGCCAAAACAGTGCCTGGCTGAAAAGATATAGTATCCATCCTTCAGTTCTACACTGAAGCCACAGCACTTCCATCCTCACAGTTTCTCCTTTAAGAATTAATCCAGATGCCTCTAGCATTAGATAAGGTCAAGGAGACCTAACTCAATGAACTTCCCTTTTTTGCAGTTTTGAGTCGCTGAGGCTGAAAAGTGTTCACTGACTCATAGCTGTAAATTCCATAGCTATTGGTCTTGGGGAGTGTTCAAAGCAGCTTCCTGATGACATCACAGCATCATTAAGAAAGAAGCTAAGCACTCCAAATCATTTGGGAATTCAATAAGTCTGGCCAGTGCTGGTTTATGACTGAGATAACCATTCACTGTGCTAACTTGAATGAAAGGTGCTGATTGATTGCAGAATTGTTTTCTCCTCCACACTAACAAAATTCTTTCTGTCTATGTGAGACTATAGCATATACTGATATATGTGTCCTACTTTTAGAGAGCACAAATGAAGCTGGAACTGAGGCACTTGCTCAAACCTCTGCAGGTGCCAGTTCAGCTCTTGCTTGAGCCCCAAATTTCACTGGGCAAGTCATGCTCCCTCTGCGTTTCAGCTCCCACCCTTAAAATAAAGATCATAACAACACTCACTTCATACATTTTGTCTGTCTTGATTACAAGGACAGGATGGGGATGGTGTGTGATTATATCTGTGCAGTGCTGTAGAGCTTAGCTCAGTCAGGGCCCATAAATGCTACTGTAGTAAAGAAACTCTTGCAGTCCTTTCTGCAGCTTTCAGCACTCCAGTAACAGGTTTTATTTCTCCTGTTATTTTCTTGCCAGGATTCAGTTTCAAGATACCATATTTCTATTCTGGCAGTTCATAATGCCACAAATACTCATATATGAGGAGATTCATGTTTTCCCTATGGTGATAGGAAAAACATCACAAGTTGCTACCATGGGGCTGATCTCTGAATCCAAGTCTTACGGTCCGAGCAAAATGGAGACCTCTCTCCCACCACATTTTTAATGTTTGTTATTGCATTACTATTCTTTACAGTAATTTCTGAGAAGAAACAAAAAAAAAAATCTATTTATTTGGAAATAACCATTTGTGATACTCACTTTTTTATCTGGCCAGTTTGTCTCTTTCTGCTTTCACCTGGAAGTTGTTTATTTTTTTCTTCTCTACTACAAAAAACTCCTCTTGATTTTTTTTTCCTTATGCTTCATGCAGTGCTAAGGAGACAGCCCAGCTCCTATACATAACAGAAAACACAGACCAGAATCTTAACAGAAGGCTTATCACTGAAGCTACAGCAAAGCTGGAATTACTGGATGTCATCCTTTGAGCCTACTCTGCAGCTAAAAGCCACTTAGTCGCTCACCTACCCTCCCCCCACTTGGGAATGGGGAGGAAATCGGAGGGGCAAAGGGAGACTCGAGGGTTGAAATAAAAACAGTTCAATAACAGTAACAGAATGATACAGTGACAGTATAAACAGGCAATGTACAATACAGTTACTCACCACCCACTGCTGACCAACACCTGCCTGCTCCCAGCTAGAGATCCCAAACACAAGGACACCACAGCAACACTCCACCCCACTCCTGCCTTTATATGGTGAGCACAGTGTCACATGACATGGACTATCGGCCAATCCGGGCCCATCCCTCCAGCTGTGCTCCCCCCGCCCCCGCACACAGGTGAGGGCACTGGGCCCTGGGGAGCCCCTGGGGTCTCAGGGGGCTGCAGCTCCTCCCGCTGCCAAAACAACGGGAACTCTAGCCCAGGACACTGGGGTGTCACTGGTCTGTGTGCTCTAGAAAGTCTTACCATGTCCATGAGAAACCAGCTGAAACAACATTTCAGCTCAAAACTGAAGGGTATGATGGTGCTCTGCTCACCTCGCCCCGCTGCCCATTAATACAGGATTATATATATATAATACAATTATATATTATATACTATATAATATATAATATATATAATATTATATATATGATTACATTGTATTATAAATATAATATTATTACATATATACATATAAAAGGAACAAAGAGAAGAGAACAGATTTCTCCTATTCTCCTCATTAACTAATAAACACTGATTGAAAAGTCCCCTCTTAAAAAATGGCCATTTACCTTTGGCTAAACAAAATGGGATCACTGAGATAAGGTTAAACTTTAGAACAAAATTAATGATGCTTATTTTAACTCTTGCTGTTCTTTAATTATTGATGTCACTATATTGCTGGCCTTAAAGATTCAGGCGTTTATAAACACATCCCTGTAGGTACGGCTGCAAACCTCCCTGGGCTTTAGCCAGCTATCTGAAATTTCTAATACAACAAAAATACAAGCAAACAAAAAAATATCATTTATTTATACATTTGTATAAGAAAGTCATGTTTAGAAAAGAGAAAATAAAATACATCTCTTCCTAAAAAAGGGTGATTTTAAAGCAGTCCCAGTGAAATTCCTCTCTATTGACCCACAACTCAGAAAAAGGAATATTCATTCCAATAAGCAGGTACAGTGTGAACGGAGACAATCATCTAATAAGACTGAGAGGACAAGTCATGTTCCATCATACAGTTAATCTTATGAAATAGATGGTATGATGGTTTTGAAGAATTCCTATGGACCGTGGTATCATATTTTTCTATCGTAGCAACAGTGATTTTCAGTTACATTAAACTGTTCAAATTAAGCTGGATGAAACCCTGAAGAGGCAAATATTTCAGTAAAGAATTTCCCCACTTATTTTCAGATCTTACTGTTCTTTACCAACCAGAACATTTAATGTTAGAGTCCTCTAAGTAACACAGATTTGATATTGTGTTGGTGTTTTTGACATTGACTTGACAGAAGCAGAATGTAAATATACTATCGTCATATATCTTGTATGCATATATTATCATTCAGTAGATTAAGTAAAGTCATGAATCAGTGGAAAATTTGATAGTTATTTTTTATCTTATTGAACTTCTGCACAGTTCCTCATCCATAGCTTTTAAATTACCTTTAAGACATGAAAACCATAATTCTCTTCTGCATGTGGAGATACTAGTGCACAGAGAGGAACAATTAATTCCAAACTCTCACAAAACATCAGTATGACAGACCTTCTAGATGCTAGCCATATTACTGTTCAATAAAGGTAGAACAACTTAACATTAAAGTTAATTTATTTTTCATTGACACTTGAACTGCACACACAAACTTTGGAGGATCAGCTGAGTAAAGAGACTTGTATATCCAAAGTGGTCATCAATATCTGCAAACATCAGTTAAGATATGCAGTTCCATATGTGATAGTATGAACAAATAATTCGTAATGTAATGATTAACAATTAAATGTTTTGTTTCATGTGTCAGCATGAAAAAATTATTAACCCTTTTTCCAAGCCTCTCTGAGAGGCATAACAAAGATTGGTTATAAACGTGTATATATTAAAACAACAAAACAAGTACTGCTCAGACATCTATTTCTTCTATGTGGTATTCTTCCAATCTATTGCTGACATACACTAATTTTGATATCTGGAACAAAAGTATGCAACATTCACTTTATGGCTATGTCATCAGTCAAAATATATGTCCCATTCCATATATAACTACCTCTGGAAATCACTATTATGTTTCATAGTTGTTATAAATTTATAACCTTTAATTTCCCTATATGGCTCAGAACACTGTATTAATTTATATGGTTCTTTTTTAGTGTGTTTCCATTAATTTATGGAATTGTACTTTCATAAGTGCCTTGAAATTGCTTGTTTAATGGAAAATGTAAGTCCTGAAATAAGAGCTTGCATAATTTTTTTTTTTTTCTCTGTAAGAATAGGTGGTTCACCTTTTATTATTTTTTCCCAATTACTTAAACATGTGAGTTACTTCTATGGCCCAAGGTCCAGGTAATAAGTAACACACTAAAAAAAAAAAAAAAAAAAAAGTGAATTATTATTATTATGCCTGCTGACTACCCTCAAAATTGCATTTAATACATATATAAAATAGCTAAAAGTTGAATTTGTTAGGATAACCTTCTCAAGGCTTTTCTTAATTTCAGATATTTAAAGTGCTTAAGTCTCCTTTATGTTTTTGGAATGCTGTAGTAATTTTAGTTTAGAGACAACACAGAGGGGTTCAAACATAGAAAAATGTTCATATGATTTTGCTGTTAGTTTAGTGCCAAAGATTTGAAGCCCTGAGTTGAAAGTTTCAGGGAGGAAGAGAAGGAAAAATAGCAACCAATAAAATATCTCAAACATTGGGAGATTTTTGTAAAAGAGAAGAACAGAAATAGTAGAGTGAATGTGATGAAAAACAGAAAGGCAAACCAAAATGAAGTTCCTGGGATATACTCATGTGCTTTACTTTGAACTATTGTGTAGATTTGAATTTCCACTGTCCTGCACTGGGTGTCATCATTTATTCTGTGCAAGGTGAGTGTTAAGTATAACAAAAATGCTCTTATTTTGATTTGGCCACTTTGCAGTAACTCTGAGAGGCAGTTAATGACCAGTGATAGTGAAGGGCAATGAAACAATTAGACACTTCTATTTAAATAATTCATCTGCATTCTGAAAAATGATCTGTCATCAACTTTACAAGCTCAAGATGAAAGTCAAGAGACAATTGTGATTTTGTTCTGTGCATTTTAAAATACTTCAGTGTTAGCTGACATGCATATTCGGAGTTCTGTGTGGAGAGAGGGAGGAAGGAGAAGGGAGAGGGAAGACGAGAAGTTTTGCAAGGAAAAAAGGACTAGAAATAACACATTTTTTTTCTGGGAGAGCAGATATTTCTTTATGCTTAAGGACAGAAGGAGAAGAATTAATCAGTCACGCAAAACCATTAGGCTCTGCTGGTTCATTACTTTAGAAACATGTAGCTACGCTGAAATTAAAATTTTAATAAATGGGTTTGAATGAATTGTCAGTGCTATTGCAAATAGCAATAACAAGGAAGATACATAAAGCATATGGTTTGGAAATATTTCTTGTAGGACTTTTTACAAACCCTTGACACTCCCATCTGAAAAGCACTAATGTAAAACAGTAAATGAGGATTCCCTTTGCCTATCTGTGTAGGGAACACGTTTGGGACATGTGAGAAAAGTGGGAGTGAAACATGCCATGTTTCAACAAGGAACAGCCAGTCTAATGGACCCTGGAACACTGTTAGTACTCATGTGCATTGGGATAGAAGCAGTTTTAGTGTGTGCAGGGATTGAATGGGGACCAGGAAATGGAAAGGGTACATAAAAGCAGCTCAGAGGTAGGTTGTATCTGGCTTATACAACACTGCTGTCTTCCATATGCTGTTTTTCTGGATTTTGCTGTTATTTAAAGGGGTGCACTCAACAGGCTGGCAAGAACTTAAATCTCTGAGTTTATATATCCTGGGTTTTATTTACACCTTGATATGTCTGAATATTTGATACTTCAGATCCTTTGGATCCTGACAGAAGTCACATGACAGCTGATGAGTGGTGACTGTGACGGCAACTGTAACAGCTCTGGAAAAGACCTGTTGGGACATAATACTGATCTCTCCTTTTTTCTTGCACTGCTGCTTGGTACTTTTTACATGCCATGATGCATCAAGAATGAAGTTGCATATTTTAGGCCATTCCACCATGTAGTGTATTGATTGGGTAAAGCTTACAGTATTCTAGAAGGTGGAAAATTACTACAGTTGGATTAATGATTCTTCATGTACAAGGAACAGAACAGATTTTCTTTTTTTTTTTTTTCTTACCTCCTTCTTTCTTTCTAGTGAAGTATACTTGGATAGTTTGTGAATCTCTCAAATTTTTATTATTCAGGAGGATAATTGTATTAAGCAGCTAGAATGAATTAGAATGAGTTCTTTGTATAACAGCAAATTTTATTGAAGCATACCGGATTTGAGGTGGTGGAAATGAAAGACTTCATTCAACAAATTGCTAAACATTATCTTCTGACAGAAAATCCTAATGAACCCCAAAGAAGTTGCAGTTGCCACCTCCCAAAGTTGGGGTCTCTTGACGTAGTGTAGGAATGAGACCCCAGAAAATACTTCTAGGAAAATGGTTTCTTGATTTATTTAGGCTTTTATTTATTTTACATTTTCTTGAATAGTTTTCACTTTTCTTTTGGATCATCCCCATATTAAGCAGATGTTGTGAAAAGGAATGATGAAACATGGAAGGATATTATAGCATGTGACAAAGGAAGACATGGAATGGTTGAATGGCAGTGGAGCCAGAAATATAATGCTGCAAGTGATCTAGAGAAGAGGTGAGCAAAGCAGAACTTTGTAAATTTGTATCAGCAATAGGACAAGCTAAAGAGTTTAATCTCTGTTTCAGATTAGTGGTATTAACATATTGAACAACGTGCTACTCTGTTATTGTCAGAAACAAATGTAAACTAGAATATTACTGGAGAAACAACATCTTGTTGAATATCACTGATACAGAAATGACAGATGGGTCTCCACCGAAGGTCAATCAGAGTTTGTCTTACCACTGAGGTGCAGAGACATAGGCGTCTGATCCTTTGCTGCAACTAGCATGGCTTCCTAGCTGGGTCTGTTTTATGTCTGGTCACACTGGACCCTGGGT